GAACCGAACCGTGAATTTTGTGTATCGTTGCACCCCTACTAAATATAATTATCACATTAAAGAAAGCTGCATTTTACTTTGGAGTCTGTGTGTTTCTAGCTATATTTTGTTGGCAGGCAGAGCAAGAGTTTGTTTATTCTGACAGATTCAAGCTGGTTTTTCCTTCTAACATTAAGGTTTATTTTCAGATATTCTCCTCGATGACAGCTATGAGGGCAACCTACGCAAAGAGGGCCGCAGTGTGCGAATAGTGGTTACCATCAGCAGTGGGCCAAATATCACCAAGGTTTGTGAACGATTCCTCCAGGAAAACCACTGTATTGAACTCTGAGAGGTTCTAGGTTATATTGCTATATGTAATACATGTATGTAACTCCTCAGGGTACACAAAGCCACGAGTACCTGATTGGGTCTATAGGTGTGAGTGGGAAAACCAAGTGGGATGTCCTGGATGGGGTTATCCGACGCCTCTTTAAAGTAAGCAGAAATCATTTGTCCACATGACAGATGTTCCTTACTGAGCTTGCTGTAGTTTGTAAGAGGACTTAGCTTGTGTAATTAATCATCTCAGTGATGAATCTGTGCAAATTAAAGCTCCTGTTGTCATCGTTGATTTCATATTTAAACACAGAGAGATTTGTAAACTTGGCTGATTGTGCAGTTGTTCCACTGTTCACCCTCGCTGCAGGAGTATGTGTTCCGCGTGGATCCTCTGACCAGCTTGGGTCTCAGCTCAGACAGTATTGTCTGCTACAGGATGGGTGAGGTGATTCGCTCCCACGCCTCTGAAGTGCCTGAGCTGCTGCCCTGCGGCTACCTGGTGGGTGGCAACAACATCATCAAGGTCAACCTTAAAGGTGAGTCAGCTGGGACGTTTTATTTGTGGATCATAGATTTTGTAGTAATGCACTGCAGAAAATATGCAGACCTGGTAACAATAACGTAAACTTGAGCCTCATTTTCCAGTCTGCTGTATAATATTCATATTTTCCTTTCCTCTTTCCTTCCTTGTTCATTACAGGTGTTAAGGAGAACAGCATAGACAGTCTCGTGTTTGACACTCTCATCCCGAAGCCCATCATCCAGCGATATCTCAACCTGTTGATGGAGCACCGTCGGATCATCCTCTCAGGACCCAGTGGCACCGGTAAATCCTTTCTGGCTGCCAAACTGGCTGAGTACATCATGTCCCACATGGGGCAGGAAGTGACGGAGCACAATGTGGCCAGCTTTAATGTCGACCAGAATTCCAGCAAGGTATGAAGAACAAGATTTTTTTTTTTTTTTTAGCTTATCAAGGCTACAAAGTCAAGCTCAGTCATGACTGTGGCAGATCAGCGACCTGTCTATCAGGAAAAACCGATATAGGTAGCACTATTTAAGCTGCTTTAGCCTGTCCACTGTTGCTGCCCATCTCCTCCTTTCATACTGACCCCATCAATCTGTTGTCATCAATGCCTGGTCCATTTTTGCTGCGTTTACTGAATGCTGTTTCTGACCAGTCACAAGTCATTATAATTCATAGTTTAAGCATAAACGTTTATCCAGAAGGGTAGAAAGGCTATTACATACAGATTTGCTAGTGGCGCATGTCATATGGATTTTATACGGAAATATGAGGACTTGTTACATTGCATTTAAAAATTGTCCAATTAGCGTTATATCACAAATGAATTACTATTTCTGTTCTACACAGGACCTGCGTCAGTACCTATCAACCCTGGCTGAGCAGTGTAACTCTGAGGACACGGACACAGAGCTCCCCACTGTGGTCATCCTGGACAACCTCCACCATATCGGCTCCCTCAGTGACATTTTCAACGGCTTTCTCAACTGCAAGTATCACAAATGGTGAGCCAGAAATTTTCCTCTCCTTTACGCTGAAACGCTTTGCAGGGACAAGTCCTACTGTCGCTCACAGCTCTAGTCAGGTCAAGTCCATTTTATTTTCACAGCCTAAATTCAGATGGCACAAGTTTTGCCTCTCAGCATTTTTAGTCTGTTCAGCTTCTGTTCTTGAAAGCTGGATTCAAATATGGGAAGAAAAAACCTTTAATAGGCAAAAGGAAAGAACAGCTAGTACATGCTCGCGCCCACTCAAGTCAAGTTGTAAACTCACTATAATAACATATCTAAACGTTATGTATTAATAACTCTGCATTTTTCTCTCGGTTAAGCACTCTGAGTAATCGCATGTGTTTGTCTGTCCAGCCCTTACGTTATTGGGACCATGAATCAGGGGGTGTCTTCGTCTCCTAACCTCGAGCTGCATCACAACTTCAGGTTTGACACATTTGGCTCTGTTATTCTTTCTGTAACATTGCTTATTCACGTGTATACCTTACTTTTATTGTGTTGTGTTTAAAAGCTCCTTCAGTTCTCCAAAAGAAAAATGATTTGTACTTTTACTTGCTCGTCCTCCTGCCGAGCTTTGGATCTGTTTGGTTGCAATACTCTGTGTCTCAGAGATCATAAATGAATCCTTCCACAGGGAGTGCTCTAATTATGTCTCCTGGATAATTAGCCCTGTTAAATGAGAATTAATAGGCTGTGATGCCTGTTCTGACTGAGGATCGTTTCTGCTTGGCATGTTTGACTAGTTGATGATTGGGCAAATACAATATGATTAGAAAGAGATTAACATGAGCCAGAAATTAATTTAATATGACTCTATTATAGTTACACAGAATGGGATCCAAACTGTGATGGAAGAAATGCTATCACATCAGGTTTAAACTGAGATGTTTTGATGAGAAATTGGATTTGATGTTGAGCTGATTGATTTGTTTCTGTGCTTTTGTTTGGCCGTTGATCATCTGTCCTATCATAGGTGGGTGCTGTGCACCAACCACACTGAACCAGTCAAAGGTTTCCTGGGGCGCTTCCTACGGCGGAAGCTGATTGAGACAGAGATTGATAAGAATATGCGCAGCAACGACCTGATTAAGATCATCGACTGGATCCCCAAAACCTGGCAGCACCTCAACAGCTTCCTGGAGGCACACAGCTCCTCCGATGTCACCATAGGTCAGGTGTCACACACACAAACAAAAACACACTAACTTTCTGACACTGAAATCTCTGTTGTGCCTTATTTTAGCTGTTATCTGTCTCAGTGCACAGTAATATAAAGTTTTGTCGTCTCTTCAGCAGCTCATTAGTTTTAACTGTGCACCACGTCACTGATCTTTGCTTCACTCATCATCCTCTTCCTTTTTTTGTCCCTACAGGCCCTCGTCTGTTCCTGTCCTGTCCCATGGATGTAGAGGGTTCTCGGGTTTGGTTCACTGACCTGTGGAACTACTCCCTGGTGCCCTACCTGCTGGAGGCTGTCAGGGAAGGACTGCAGGTAGGACCTGATAAAACATAACTGTGTGGTTTCACCAATAAATCTTTTTACAGCGTAATGCTAAAAATTAAAAAAGTGCCACATTTTTTCAGGTTAGTATATAACAGCATCTAATAAAATCCAAACAAAAGGAAGTATGCAGTAAAATAAAGCCTTAGCACGTCTGCACTGCTGCCTCATTAACTGCACAAGTTTTAATGTGTGCCATTGTCTGTGTGAATGAATGCAGGCTGCTACTGTGAGAGAAAACTCCGAGATCAAGTTTTCAGCATTTTTAACCCGACATAACAGGATTTTACCAGTATTTCTATTACAAAGGACACAGTAGTCCAGATGAAATTAGCAGTGTTAAAACACTTCTACGCTTTTACTTTCATCTAAGGGGGCTCTCGTTCTGCCGGACCATTTGGTCATGCACCATAGGGCATGTTATATGGCATGAGACGAGAAATAAAACTGAGAAAGAAATTATCATCACCACAGTGTCTGATTTTTATGTCACTTCACACAATGCTAAAAAACTGTTTTAGTCTCTGTGACCATAAATTTTTACCATCATAAGATTAGAACAACAGTGTTTTATTCAATACGGAGCCCCGCAGGGGACATGGGAGAAAAAAAAAATTAAGACGGACTTAATCTCGCAAATCTCGCAAAACAAACTCGGGATCTCGCAAACGTTTTAGCCGCATTCTTCGGACGCTGGCTCAAAGCCGACCGGGAGGTCGAGGCACGATGTGCTGGGAAAGCGGTGTTCCTCCCGGCTGTAGTAGGTCTCGACCTCCCATTAGCTTCGAGCTAAAACTGCGGCTAAAACTTTTGCGAGATCCCGAGTTTGTTTTGCGAGATCTCGCAAAAGTCCGTCTTAAATTTTTTTTTCTCCCATGTCCCTTGCGGGGCTCCGTAGTTTCTGGATACTTAAAACTGCAATAATATTCAGTGTTTTGTTGCATCAAAAGGAACTGGACAAGTTTTGTGTCATCATCATCATCATCGACCGTCTGTCCATCTATTTACTTCTGCTTTTCCAGTCCAGGTTCAGGGGGTGCAGCTGGAGCCCATCCCAG